CATCTTGTGTGGATCTTTTTGGTTTTGAGTGACAAGTTCAACGTAGTTGTGTGCTTTTGTGCGAATTGTTCATGCGTGATGAGTAATAGTTTTGGATATAAACGTAGTTGTGTGCTTTTGTGCGACGGCGACTGCGAACTCCAACGGCTCTGGTCCTTCGGTTGCTGGTATAGGTAACACTAGTAAGCGCAAATCGCCTGTGTGGGCTGATTTTGAGGAGATCTATGAGGTTATTAATGGTTCTAGAATTTGCACCAAGGTTGTTTGTAAGATGTGCAAATCTACCTTGTCTACTAGATCTGCTGCTGGCACTAGTCACTTAAAAAGGCACCAAAAATCATGTAGGATTAAAACTGATCAACGTGCTAGGGTTCAATCTAGGCTTTCATACAATCCTGATGGTTCTGTTTATAACTGGGATTATAAACCTGAAGTTGTTAGATCTGAATTATGTCGTTTGATTGCTAAGCTTGATCTGCCTTTAGGAATTGGTGAGACTGATGCTTGGGAAGAATACATTGTTAGAGCTCATAACCCTAGGTTTGTTAAGGTTTCTAGACAGACCACCACTAGAGATCTTGGTAAACTTTTTAATGAACGAAGTAATATAATTAAGAACTGTGTGTTGTCTGGTGCTTCTTCTGTTGGTCTGACATCAGACATTTGGTCTGGTAATACAAAGGAAGACTATATCAGTGTTGTTGCTCATTATATGACTGCTGACTAGGAGTTGCAGAAAAAGGTAATTGGTCTCCACTTGATTGAGGTAAAACATACTGGTGAGAATATTGCAGAAAAAGTTGCTTGTGTGATTGAAGAATTTGGTTTGCTTGACAAGGTGTTCTCTATTATTCTTGACAATGCTTCTTCCAATGCTAAGGCTATGGAAACATTGACACCTATGTTTGTTAGTTATCTGGGTTCTGAACCTACACCTACACCTTCAGATCCTAATAAGGTTAAGTATCATCTTGTACATCAACGTTGTGCTTGCCATATTATTTATCTGATAGTAAAATCTGGCTTAAAAAGGTTCAAACCTTACACTGAAGATTTCAGAACTGCTATTAACTTTTTGAATTCATCTAATCAAAGGATTGCTTTGTTCATGAACTTTTGTATTGCTAAGGGTGTTAGACCTAGAAAGTTTGGTTTGGGTATGGATGTTAGATGGAATGCTACATATCTTATGCTTAAACACCTGCTTCCATATAAGGATGTTTTTTCTGTGTTCATTAATTCCAACTATGGCTCAACGTTGTTGACTGCAAGTCACTGGTATATTGCTGATAAAATACTTGAATTTCTGGAAGTTTTTTATGACTCCACAGTCACTCGTTTTGGTGTTTACTATCCAACTAGTCCACTTATTCTACACCACCTGCTAGATAATATAACTCATTTGCATGAAAGTTCAAAGGATCAGAATCTGTTTTCTGTTGTCTATCCTATGAAGCTTAAATACCTAAAATACTGGAAGGACATATCTCTGTTGTATTCATTTGCATTCATTCTTGATCCTAGAGGTAAAATGAGAGGTTTATTTAATGTTCTTACCATAATGCAACAAAAAACTGGTTTTGACTACAGTTCTTATTATGGTGTTGTGAAAACTGAAATTTTCAAGTTGTTTAACAAGTATGAAGAAAAGTTTGGTGCAGCTAGGTCTCAAAGGAGGGCTGCACATCCTACAAGCATCACAGGTAAGAGGAAGCAGGCATGGGGAAGAATTTTTGAGGCCCTAGAGCATCTGGTGTTGTTGGACCTTCCCCTGCCTCTGCTCCCAGTCCTTCTTTATCTACTTCTGGTGCTGCTTGTGAGCTATCTGCTTATCTGGACAGTGACAATGTCACTGCATATGAGGATGACTTTGATATACTTATATGGTGGCGTGACCATAAGCTAACATATCCGGTGCTTTCTATCATGGCTAGAGACATTATGTCAGTTCCTGTTTCAACAGTGTGTTCAGAATCTTGTTTCAGCTTGATAGGAAGAATACTTGAGGAGCGGCGTCGTCGACTATTGTCTAAACATGTGGAGATGCTTGCTTGCATAAAAGATTGGGAGCTGGGTGAAAGAAGACTGCGGCATGATGTTGACAACCAAGAACTGGTAGACTCCTTCGAGCATCTCTATCTTGATGAAGATACATCTACTTCTGGGGCTTCTTCTGCTAGCACATCTGCATCTGGTGGTTCTTGAGTTGAGAGTTGAGATTGAGACAGTGAGAGTGTGAGACTTGAGAGGTGAGCTAAGAGCCTGAGACTTGATTATGATCTGTATCTGTAATGTATCATGTAAACCTTTGAACATGTTTAAGACTTATAAGAGCTGTGCTACACTCTTTTTCTCTTTCTGGGGTTTCTCACAAGGGTGAGTTTTACCCAAAAAGGTTTTTAATGAGGCAGCATTGCACACAACTCAGTTATCCTTTTAATTTCCTCTTGTTCTCTGTGTGTATGGTTTTGGTTTTGATTTGAAGCTCTTCTGGGAAAAAAAATACTTCAAATTAGAATACTTCTTGTTGAGATGAATTTTTTGATATGTTTTGAACCCTACGGGCCTCGGGCTGGCACAGCCTGGTGATTTAGCCGTGCCTAGCAGGCCGGCACGACACGGATTTAGGCCCACAGGCTTGTGCTTGAGCTGATGGCAAGGCACGAGGCCCGCAGCGGCACGGCACGGGAGGCACGGCGTGCCGAGCCGGGCCAGCCCGATGGCCAAGTATAAAGTGCTGTCGAAAGGACATGGTATTTAACTAAAATCTCTTATATAGTGGTAACATGATTATTGTCTTGTGTTATAGAGGCTTGGCTTAGAACTGGCTATGCTAGTGCTGGTGCCAAATGTTGCATAGTTTGCATGTGATTTTGGAGGTGCCGTGACCTTGGAAGTGGTTTTGAGAAAAAAGCAGAATGCATACTCTGGTTGGCTCTGTGACTGTTAATTCGGTCATTCCCAAACACTGAAATGCAACGGCTTGTTCACTACTGAAATGCATAGTTTGAGATACTTCGACTACCTCATGCGCCCCTGTTACTTTAAATTCTGTCATCGCATTTTTTTATTTTTGTGCATTTGAACTGTACTATATTGGTTCAAACTCAGCTATTGCAGCTTATTTGTGCATTTCGATTAGTATATTCATCCAATGCTTGGCTGAAACTTTCCCTTGTTCCAGTCTTCTTCGGTTATGCTTCACCTGAAGCACATGCACTTGGAGGTGCCTTTGTAATGTTTATTTCTGTCCTGTAAGCCAATTCGTTTTTGATGTAGTAATCTGTAGTTGTCTTATTCTGTGTGAATGTGTACTTACTTCCGTTGTTCCTAGCTACCCTGACTTGTTGGCTGATTCATCGGCCGGTTTCTTCGTTTCTTGTTATAGTTACCCTCATTCCTTTTGTATGAATGTGTCGTTGGCATGCTGAGATATGTACACTAATTCATTAATGGCATTCTAAGATCATTATTCATTAGTGGTGATGTTGATGTTTCAGGCGTTGATCAACAGAGATTGGCCCAGGATCAGAGCCAAGATCGATGCCCTCTGGGGCCCCTCAGAAGGCGGTGACGAGAGCGACTCTGACGAGGAAGATGGAGAGGACGAGGATGCTATGGATTCACTGAAGGATTATATGTAATTAACTGCACATATATAATCTATATATATGTATGTTTGCACTGAGTTAGGTCGTCTTTAATTGTAATTCATGATGCTTGTTCTAAGTTTAAGTGCTGTCGAAGGACATGGTCATGTAACTATTTAACTAAAAAAATCTTATATAATAGTAACATGATGATTGTCTAGTGTAACTGAGGCTTTGCTTAGAACTGGCTGTGCTAGGCGTCTTGATCGATTTTGCAGGTGCCATGACCTTGGAGGTTCAACTGCAAGTGATTTTGAGGGAAAAAAAAGAAGGCAAAAGGCATCCTTTGGTTGGCTCTGTGACTGTTAATTCGGTCATGCCCCCAAGCAGACTTATTGAAACACTGAAACTGAAATGCATACTGAGATACCTCATGCCCCTGTTTATTCAAATTCTGTTATTGCAGCATTTTTTTTTGTGCATTTCAACTGTATTATTATATTGGTTCAAACTCAGCTATCGCAGCTTATTTGTGCATTTGAACTGTATGTTAGTATTTACCCAATGCTTGGCTGTCGAAGCTTTCCCTTGGTCCAGTCTCTTTCGGTTATGCTTCACCTGAAGCACATGCACCTGGAGGTGCCTATAGTGATGTTTATTTCTGTCAAGTAAGCCAGTTCGTTTGAGATGTAATGATCTGTAGTCGTCTTATTCTGTGTGAATGTGTGCTTCAGTCAGTTGTTCCTGATGACCCCTGACTTGGCTGATTCATCGTGTTATATACTTTTATTAGTTACCCTCAGTCATTTTGTGTAGAATGTGTTGGTGGCATGCTAAGATATTACAGTAATTCACTGATTTATAAGATCAGTATTCATTAGTGGTGATGTTGATGTTATTCTAGGATTAGTATTCATTAGTTGTTATGTTGATGTTACCATGGTGCTGTCATATTTTTTTTTTCTCCTTGTGCAACGTACTCAAGATATTCCTGTATGGAAATTGTGCAGGGACTATGTTGATCCTACAATATCTTCATATTTTAAAAATGATGTTCTTTTTTTGGTTATGCTTCACCTGAAGCACATGCACTTGGAGGTGCCTATAGTAATGTTTCTGCACTGTAAGTCAATTTGTTAATAATTTAGGAGATGTTGATTAGAGTACAACTTAAAGCCAAGATGTTTCATTAGAATTTAACATGAAGTCTCCACAGGAAACCTTCATTTAGTAATATTAAGATGTGGATTCACCATGTAATACTTCAGGAAAAGTAACGTTGATAATAGTTCCGAAAAGCATACAATAAATAGTGCACCATCATGGAGCAATGTATTATTACAAGCGTACAACATAACAGAGCGAGAAAACTAACGTCCTCTGTAACTATGCTCATTATGACCAGGTAATCTACTTCGGTTCTGTTGATTCGTTGTACTCATCGAGAACCACACTGAGAGCATTACTCTTCCCATGAATCTTGCTTGCTAGTTCCTTGACTTGGTGTGCCTTTTCCTTGGCATCTTTAGGCGCCTGACTGCTGACAGTAAGCACTACCTGTTGGATACTTGAAAGATTTTCCAGGTCATAGACACCCTCCACCATTATGAACCTTAGCTCAATCCTCTGAAGCACCGGCATTGCCCCTTCCAGGAAGCTCAGAGGTGGCAGCACAGGTGCTGCAAAGCGTAGCAGTTTAAGCTTTTAGAATCCCTCAGGTGGCACAAAGATGTTGCCACCTGACTTGAGTGTGTTATCATGATTCATGAAGGGTCTAGAGAACACTTGCATTGTTCCTGGTTGAGTCGAGTGAGAAAATGAGAGAAAACAGCTCGGGCAGCATGGCAAGAACCACCAGAGCATCCGTCGTGAGTGAAGTTAACGACAAGGTTAGCTTCTCAAGATTGTGCAGACTGACAATCCACTCGGGCACTTGAGACAACTTGCCAGAGAGCCCAAGGGTGTGCAGGTGCTCTGGTGGGGCTTGTGAAGCATTCAGTGAGGTGTCAAGGAATCCAGTGAAATCATCATCAATTGCAAGATACTTGAGGGAGCAACTGCTCAGATGCTCAATGGCAGACAGCAATAACTCAAAATTGCTCGAGGTACAACTAACCTTATAAATGGTGAATTTCCTCAGGTTGGTAAGTTTCTGCAAGTCTCTAAGCACTTCAGTTGCTAAATCAGTACAGATCTCAACCCCAGATAGTGTCTGTAAAGCCGTCATCTTTGTGATTGCTTCAGTTAATTTCAATGCATGCCGCTTGTTCTTATTGCCAGCAAGTAGGTGCTCCATTCTCTGAAGCTTATCAACTGACTCAGACAATTTTGTGATGCTCGTCTCCCTTATGTCAAGTACTTCGAGAGATTCCAGCCGGCCAATTTTGGTCGGGACCTCCTTTACGTCCGTCTGGCGTAAGCTCAGGTACTTCAGCTGGTGCATTTTACATATTTTCTTGAGTTGCTTGTATGACAAATCCTTGCAGCCTTCAAGATCTAGCACCTGCAGTATCTGAAACTTGTGCAAAGTAGAATGAAGCGCTCTCAAACTCCCTAGTGCCGTTAAGGATCTGACGTGGGACAGTCTCATCCTCCCTACCTTTTCACTCTCTTTCCCATCACTCCTCTGAACGGACAGACGACGCACCTTGTAGCTCGGAAATGGCGTTTGCCAGTGACCACCAAACACAGTGATGAAATTCTCGTCGCTTGACTTGGCAACAATGTACTCCAGAACCATGTCATGAATCTGACAGCTCTTCACCTTGCCGTTGCTGCTGTTGTTGACCGGACGGACCAAGTTCCTGTCAATGAGTTCACTGAAACAGTGCTCAGCAACTTCCTCGACGGTCTTCCTGTCCTTCTCGACAACGAACCCTTCGGCTATCCATCTTCTGAGGAGGCACTTTCTATTGATCAAGCAACCCTTGGGAAACATGCTCAAGTACAGCAAGCACGTTTTCAGATCAGCTGGCAAATCTTTGTAGCATTGGTCAAGTATCCGTGTCACTCCTTCCGTAGTGAGATTGTTCCCCAGAACTGCATGAACTGCACTTAGTTCTTTGTCAACCTTTTCCAACAGGCTGTCCAGGTTTGACTCTTGGTTTTCCTTCAGTTTACTAGCCATAAGACCTGCTACTACGATGATGGCTAATGGCAGACCTCTGCACGCTTTCATGATCATCGGACTATTAATGGGTCTTGTAATACAAAGATCATCAATAACAGCACCAGAGATTGTTTCAAGAAACAGGTTGTAGGAACTTTCTTCAAGGAGTGGCTTGTGCTCGTAGGAACGGCCATTTCTTCAGCGACAGGCTTCGGACACAGATTTGAACCTTGTTCTCACTGTCAGCGGATGAACGCCTCCAACGGCTAGAGCAGGCCCGGGTCTCTTGCGTCGCCAACGTCCAGCGCTCCCGACGCCACCTCGCGCACTCGCCTCGCCAACGGCCTCCGCAGAGCGGGCTCGGCCGCGCACACACACGCGCCGGGTCTTCACGGCGCCCACACGTCTGGCTTGTGCGCTCATCCTCTCCCGTGTGTAGTGCGTGTGTGGTCATGGCCAAAGGCCATTGTACTCTATAAATGTACACAGTATACGATCAATGAAAGCTGTCCAGTTGATCTTCTCAATTCTACATGGTATCAGCCTCCTCTTTGCTCCTAGTGAATCCCTTTGCCTCACCTTCCGCTCCACCATCTCCTCCCATGGCTTCCTCCTCCGATGCCTCCTCTGACGACGAGTTCGTCGCCCCCGCCCAAGCCTCCGCCATTCAGGGCATCTCCATCCGCCATCATGTCCCCGTCGTCCTCGATCTGGAAGAGGGCAACTACGGGCAGTGGAGGTGCTTCTTCGATTCCGCGCTTGGCAAATTTGGCCTCTTCGGCCATGTTCGTTCTCCAACCACTTCTGCAGATCGCGACGGCGAGTGGCGCATGGTCAACTCCTGCGTCGTCAACTGGATCCTCGCCACGGTGTCCAAAGGTGTCTTGGACATCATACGCCGTGACGACCGCGCCGACGCCTTCTCGCTTTGGCATGCCATCGCAGGCCTCTTCCAGGACAATGAACTCCAGCGCGCGGTGTACCTCGAGGCGGAGCTGTGCACTCTCCAGCAAGGTGACATGTCCATCAATGACTACTGCACCAAGCTGAAGCGTCTTGCTGATCAACTCCGCGACATCGGGCATCCGGTCTCCGAACCAAGCCAAGTCCTCAACCTCCTTCGCGGGCTCAACCCGCGGTACCGCTACGTCAAGCCGGTGATCGCTGCCAAGTATCCGCCCCACACCTTCATGAGCGCCCGCTCCTTCCTTCTTCTGGAGGAGCTCAGCGTTCAACACGACAACAACACCGAGGCGACGCAAGCTCTTGCCGCGTCCCACGTTTACCGTTCGGGCGGAACCTCCAACTCCGGCAACCACGGCATGTCCACCGGCTCCAACGACGGCTCCTCCGGCTCCGCGGCGCCCCGTGACAACATCCGTCGCAATAATGGTGGCGGCTACCGATCCAACAACCACGGCGATCGGCGCCGTGGACGCGGCAACGGCGGCGGGGCATCGCACGGCGGCACCAACGCCAACAACCAGGCCGCACCGTGGGACGCGGGTTACAACCCCTGGCAGGGCATGGTGCAGGCCTGGCCCATGCCCTTCTAGGCCCCCGGCGTTGGCGTCTTGGGACCTCGCCCGCCGTTCCAGCCTCAACACGCGATGACGGCCGCTCATCAACAACAGAACGCGCCAGGCACCTCCTCCAACACCTTCGACACTGCTGCCCTCTACGCGGCGCTCCACTCCGCCGGCGTCCCTCACCAACCCCAGAGCGCGTCCGATTGGTACTTCGACACCGGCGCGACATCACACATGTCATCTTCTCCTGGTAACTTTCCCCGCTCGGTTCTTCAACCTTCTTCATCTATGATCACAGTAGGCAATGGTGCCCAGATGCCAGTCACCCATCGGGCACAAACATTCATTCCTACTGCCACTGCTCCCCTTCGTTTAAACGATGTTCTTGTTTCTCCCTCACTTATCAAAAATTTGATTTCCGTTCGTCGTCTCACTCGTGATAACAATGTTTCAATTGAATTTGACCCGGCTGGTTTTTCCATCAAGGATCTAGCTACCAGGGCGGAGATGCTCCGATGTGAGAGCAGCGGCGATCTCTACCCTCTTCGCCATCCGCACCATCAAGCCCTCGCTGCAACTTCGGCAACGTCCTTGTGGCATCAGCAGCTGGGACACCCCGGTCACCCAGTTACTTCCCAAATTTTACACAATTTTTCTTTCCAATGTAATAAAGCTGATGACCACTCATGTTCGTCTTGTCGTTTGGGCAAGCATCATCGTTTACCTTTTTCTGATTTAGAAACAAAGTCGTTCTTTCCTTTCCAAATTGTTCATTCGGATGTTTGGACCTCACCAATACTTAGTCACTCTGGCTACAAATATTATGTTGTTTTTCTAGATGACTTTACTCACTATCTGTGGACAGTGCCTCTTCGCAACAAATCTGATGTTTTTCACATGATAAAAGCATTCATTTCATACGTTCACACTCAGTTCCGACTACCCATTCTTGCCTTCCAGACAGACAATGGCCGGGAGTACGACTCCACTGCCATGCGCCTGCTCCTCTCCTCCCACGGCATACAGCTGCGCCTCTCTTGCCCGTACACATCGCAACAGAACGGGAAAGACGAGAGAGTTCTTCGTACCATTAACGATTGTTTGCGCACCTTACTCATACACAGTGCAGCTCCATTGCCGTTCTGGGCAGAGGCCCTTGTCACGGCGGTGTACTTGATCAACAGGCGACCATGTCGCGCTACTGGAACCGCGACGCCCTACGCTCTCCTCTTCAGTGTACCATCGACGTACGCCGAGCTCAGGGTGTTCGGCTGCCAATGCTTTCCCAACCTGATCGCGACATCGCCTCACAAGCTTGCCGCGCGGTCGATGCCGTGCGTCTTCATCGGGTACCCGGCGGACCACCGAGGATACCGGTGCTACAACATCGCCACTGGCCGCGTCATCACGTCGCGGCACGTCACCTTCGACGAGAACGTCTTCCCATTCCGCGAAAACGACCGCGCCCACGACGCCGCTGTACCCTCCTCGCCGCGCCAGCGCACTACGTCCATCGGGCCCTGCGATCACGACGACGACGACGCGCCGCGGCTACCGCCGCCTCACCCGTCTGCACCTGTGCGACTTGTTGCGGACCTGACGCCTCATCCACAACGACGCCGAACAGCACGCCACATCCACCACTCGCCGACGTCGTCGTCGACGTCGTCGTCACACTCCGCGGCGTCCTCGGCCACGACAACCGCGACGTCGCCCGCCGCTGCATCAGTCGACCACCCCTCTCCGACGCCGTCGAGTCCTACCTCGCCGCAACCTCCACCAGCTGCGACGTCGTCCACTGATGTGCCAACCGGCCATCCGATGGTCACCCGTGCTCGTGCTGGAATTTACAAGCCAAATCCAAAGTATGCTCTGGCCGCCACGGGGATCATCTCACCGATTCCTCGCAGCGTCCGCTCCGCCGTCAAGGACCCCAACTGGTACGCTGCGATGAAGGCTGAGTTTGATGCGTTGCAGGCGAACAAGACGTGGTCACTCGTGCCGCGACCACAGGGAGCACGGGTCATCACCGGAAAGTGGGTGTTCAAGCACAAACTGAACCTGGACGGCACACTGGCGCGATACAAGGCTCGGTGGGTTGTTTGGGGGTTCAATCAACGACCCGGCATCGACTTTGGGGAAACCTTCTCGCCGGTGATCAAGCCGGCAACGATACGAACCGTCCTCACGCTCATCGCCAGCAAGGGATGGTTGGCTCATCAGCTGGACGTGTCTAACGCGTTCCTGCACGGCAACCTGCGTGAACGCGTCTACAGCCAGCAACCCAGCGGCTTCGTTAATCCAGACCAGCCGACCGATGTCTGCCTCCTGTCCCGTTCGCTCTACGGCCTCCGCCAAGCTCCAAGGGCGTGGTTTGACCGTTTCGTTGAGCATGTCACCTCCCTCGGCTTTGTATAGTCAAGAGCCGACACATCCCTGTTCGTCTACCACAAGAACGGCGCCACAGCGTACCTGTTACTCTACGTCGACGACATGATTCTGTCCGCCTCCATGACTGATCTTCTTCGACATATTGTCAAGCGCCTACACGATGTCTTCGCCGTGAAGGACATGGGGCCGGTCCACCACTTCCTCGGCATCAGCGTTCGTCGGAACACCACCGGCTTCTTCCTTTCGAAGGCACAGTACGCAGAGGAGCTTCTCGAGCGAGCGGGCATGGCTAACTGTAAACCAGTCGCTACGCCCGCCGAAACGAAGGCCAAAGCGTCAGCCACTGATGGCACGCTCCTCGACGATGCCACCACCTACAGGAGTATCGTCGGCGTGCTCCAGTACCTGACAATCACGCGACCGGACATCGCGTACGCCGTGCAGCAGGTGTGCCTCCACATGCACGCGCCGCGGGATGTGTACTTGACGATGCTGAAGCGCATACTATGGTATGTCAAAGGCACCACCTCCCTCGGCGTCCAGCTCCGCGCCGTCACATCGCCAACGATCTCCGCCTACTCGGACGCGGACTGGGCCGGCTGCCCGGACACACGCCGTTCGACGTCCGGCTTCTGCGTATTCCTCGGCTCATCCCTCATATCGTGGTCGTCCAAGCGCCAAACCACGGTGTCGAGGTCGAGTGCCGAGGCGGAGTACTGCGCCATCGCCAATGCCGTCTCTGAATGTTCATGGCTTGGACAGCTACTGGGCGAGCTGCTCTACACGGTGACCTCAGCGACAGTTGCGTTCTGCGACAATATTTCTTCGGTGTACATGTCCCGGAATCCAGTCCACCACCGGCGAACCAAGCACATAGAGCTGGACATCCACTTCGTCAGGGAGAAGGTGGCCGTCGGCGAGCTCCGTGTCACACATGTTCCCAGTGCGCGGCGGCTAGCGGACGTGTTCACCAAAGGGCTCCCTTCAGCGCTCTTCTTCGACTTCCGAGACAGTCTCTCCGTCACGAACGGCGACGTCAAGACTGAGGGGGGTGTCAGCGGATGAATGCCTCCAACGGCTAGAGCAGGCCCGGGTCTCTTGCGTCGCCAACGTCCAGCGCTCCCGACGCCACCTCGCGCGCTCGCCTCGCCATCGGCCTCCGCAGAGCGCGCTCAGCCGCGCACACACGCGTGCCGGGTCTTCACGGCGCCCACACGTCCGGCTTGTGCGCTCATCCTCTCCCGTGTGTAGTGCGTGTGTGGTCATGGCCAAAGGCCATTGTACTCTATAAATGTACACGGTATACGATCAATGAAAGCTGTCCAGTTGATCTTCTCAATTCTACAGTCACCACTATGGTACCGCCTTTCTCATTTTTGGGCAAAGAATCCCTAAACTTTTCCCATGCTGATACAGACCAAACGTCATCTATCAAGATGAGATACCTATTTCAAGCATTATACAAAATAAGCATTGATCCTACAAAGTAATTATTCTCAAAAGCACACTACAACAGTAACATCAAAGAACGATTATAATAGAAAAATTATATATATAATATAAATAGGATTACAATATCATGCTTATATTATATATATATATATGTGAAGAAAGGTGAAACATGAATGAGGAGCATTAAAATGGTACAGTACCTCTTCTTCTTTAGTAGATTGTCCAGTTTACTTTTAAGATCCTCTTCTCCCAATTTGTCAGTTTCCTCGATCTCTTCCATTGATGCACCGGACTGCTGCTCTTGGAATGTCTTTATAAGCCTTCCCAAAACTGTTCGGAGATTGAACTTCTGGGAGGCAAGCACGGATGCTCTGCAACCGAAATCGTCTCCGAACTTGCGGTAAAGCGCCATGGCAAGAGTGGTCTTGCCTAGGCCACCAGACCCAAAAATGGCAAGGAATCTGAGCTGATTACCGGTGCTTTGCTGGCTCCCATTGGAGAACCATGGCTCTAGCTCCTTCATGGCATCCTCCAAGCCCACCGGCTCCTTGGTGCCGAAGAGCTGGGGAGGAGGCACTAGACGGTCTTGGGGATCATTGGCTCCCGTGTTTTCGACGTTTCCCGTGTTCTCCACGCCGTACCTGGTGCGCCGCTCGCTGACGTGCTGCGCCCGGGCCTTGAGGTTGCCGATCTCCGTGGCGATGCAGTGGCGCGCGTACAGCGTGGTGAGCAGATACCACTTCTTCCGGAGATACACCAGCGCTCCGCTCCCACGGGGCTCGCTGCTGAGGCGGTGGTCGACGTCGTCCACACAGTCCTCGATGTCGTAGGACACCTCCCGGACCTGCTTCATCCAGTCCAGGCGCTGCTCGTCATGGTCGCCCACCCGCTTAATCTTGTTGAGGAAGGCCTGCATGCTGGCCAGCTCGTCGGTGATGTACTGGATGTCATCACGGACGCCACGGATCAGGGTGTACTCCTGCGCGAGGAGGCTCCCGAGCTTGTTCACCAGCGATTTCACGGCGTTGTTTGAGGCGCCGACGACGAGATCCATCGTCGCGCTACTCTAGCGCTGCCTCCTTACCAGTGGAGACAAGATGCTTTTGATGTAGTTCTGTGGTTGTACTAAGCTTTTTGCTCACTAGAATGGTAATGGCGAGTATCGGACAAAAGGAGCAGAAAACTGATTAAGGACCTCTACAGGGTGGAAGTCATAATGGTGGGCATCGTTTGTTAGATCCAGCATAAAAAAAAATGGAAACAAGACATACAATTGTTGGTGCTTCTGAGGTGAGCCCTATGAAACAAGCAGGTTGCAGCAAACAAAATACTTTTTTTGACTTGTTCGCTTCAACTTAAAGGAGCAGCCACTACGGTTTTATACTACTATCAAATACTATAGTTAAAACTGAAAAAGCCACCGCCGCAGCGGTTTAATGGTGACATCGCTTGTTAGAATTAGACCCAGCACACAAAAAAATGTAAACAAGACATACTGTACTACCTAGACACTGGCGACCATAGACATACTGTTTACATTTTGTGTGCTACAAAAAACAGTATGTCTTGTTTACCTACTACATAAAATCTTTTGCACAGCGTTTTCATTTGGGGGCTCCGAGGCGGTCGGCCTGGTTGCCCACCTCGGTTATTCGAGGCAGGGCAGCCAGGCCAGCAACCGCCTCGATAAATCCTTAACTGAGGCGGACACTTTAATATAACCGCCTCGGTTAATGCCTATTAACCGAGGCGTGCATTATAACACAACCGCATTGGTTAATACATTAACCGAGGCGGTCACATTATAAGGCCCGCCTCGGTTAAATAGTGGCCCAGACAGCCCATCTAGACCTGGTAAAGGGTATATACCGCGAGCAGCAAAACCTAACTTCCATCCCCACCTCTCACTCCCTCAGTCGCGCTGCACAGCGGCGCCCCTCCCTCCGACTCCGCGCGCCTCTGACTCCGTAGCGGCGCCCCTCCCTCCTCCACTCTCTCTCACACTCTCTCTCTCTCTCTCTCTTCCTCCACTCTCTCTCCGTCGCGAGCGGCGCGGCGATGCAAGCTGGGCGCGGTGGAGCAGGCGCGGCCTCTCCGTCTCCCAGCAATGCGCGCCCCCTCCCCTCCTCTCCCAGTGCGGCGCGGGCGCTGGCACGACGGGTGGCGCGGGCGAGTCGAGGCGGGCCGCGCGCGGGAGGCGCGGGCGAGGCAGCCCTTCTCTTCCTCTGGCGTGGGGCACGCGGCTGCCTCCTCAGGGCACGTGCGGCCACCTCTTCCTCCTCCAGCGTGGCTGCGTGGCCCCCTCCTCCAGTGGCGGCGCCCCTCTCCCCTCCCTCTCTCTCTCTCTCTCAGGCCCCTCCTGGATCCCAGATCCGGCGGAGAGGGCGAGGAGGAGCCCGGATCCGGCGGTGGGGAGGCCAGATCCAGCAGCAAGAAGGTTGGATCCGGCGAGCTATGGCAGCAGCGGCAGCAGTGCATGGATGGGCTCGGCCGGCCTGTCCATGGGTTTTTCTTTTTTTTCCTTTTTTTAATTGATTAATCGAGGCGGGCATTTCAACCGCCTCGGGAAAGATCCATTTACCATGACCTTTCCACTGAGACGGTTGCGATGCACACCTCGGTTAATCACTTTTGCCCGCCTTGATTAATTTTTTCTGTAGTAGAGATGCCGCACCCAAATTTTCCAGCGCAGGCATCGCGAGAACTAAAAACGCTCTCTCCTCTTGGAAGTCAGAAAGCAATAGGATAGATGAGTTTAGGATTGGAAAACCGGCTCGACAAGGTTTGTTAATAGTTGAGCTTTCTCATTTAGCTCACGAGCAATTGTAATGACCAAACAATTGATGCAATTATGCAATTTGATTTTGCAGTAACAGATTCAAAATGGAAAAAATAAAATACCCCCTCCGTCCTAAAATATAAGGAATCGAAGTAATTTTAAGACAAGTGACGTATATAACCCTCTCTGATTACTATATTTGGGTTGATGATAGACATTAATAGTAGGTATGCATGTGAATATTATCTTTTAGTGTTTGTTCACCTAGAATACCATACATTTTGGTACAAATTTTGAACTCTCAATTCTTTATATTTCAGGACCTAGGCAGTATATGCACTCAACAAGTATAATAGTACTCGTGACATTTTATAAATCTCTACCCCTATAATAGACCACTTCAAATTATCCTACATCTACCCAACAATTACCCACTCGATAGTCATGACCTTAACTACGTCCACACCAGTATATGCACCCAGAAATACACCACCCTAAAAGCGTAAGAACCAGATTAACTCTCCTCCCTTCTCTCTCTTTACTCAACCATATCCGACGGTCATCCTTCAATGGATCTCCACGAACCAGCAACCCCCCGCGCCCTAGCTGCCAACGCCCGCGTTCCCCGACCATGGTTCGACCCCGCCTCAGGTTTTCTTTTCCCGCAGCCACCATGCTTTTTCCCAAAAAAATCAATGCAAGGCGGGGTCAGGAGATGGCGGCAGCGCCTCCACGCCATTGGGGGAGAAGTAGCGGGCGAGGCGATGGTGCCGCGGCCAGGAGGTCGGGGTGGCCTGGATCTGCCACCGCGCTGCCTGGATGGAGGGGTGGAGGCAGAGCGCCGCCCCTAAGCCAGGGATCGAATCCCACCGTCCCACACGCCCAGCACTTTTTTGTCCCCGAAAAAAAATCGAGAGGTCGGGCGTGCTCACAGCGTGGCAGCAGTGGCTAGCACGCGCTTCCTGCTCCGGCGGCAGCCCCTGCATGCGCTCACCCCTGGGCGGAGCGGCAGCAGCATTGGGCGGGGGCTGGGCAAGGCCGCCGCGGCCGTGACCGTGGCAGCAGCTGCAGTGGTCAAGACCCGTGCTCCCGTGGGCAGCCGTGGCGGTAGCACCTGCGGCAAGCTGGGGCGGCCCAGATCCACTCGCCCGCGAGATGTCGGAGATCCGCACTCCCAATGGTGGAGAAGATCCTGCTAGGGTGGATGTAGCTGCTCTTGGCATGCCTGCGGACTGTGGAGGAGTAGGCGTCGGCACGACTGTTGGCTCTGGGCATCTAGCTGCAGCTGGAGCAGCAAGGGCACCCTCAAAGGTCTCCGCTGATTGTGCCTCATCTGATGGTCCTTTCGTTGGCAGTGCTAAAAATATTGTGTTTTGACGGACGTTTGATTGGCCTATGCCTCCAGGTTCATGCACTTTCCGACCATGCCAGAGGTTCTTGAGTGAAAGCCTATGATTTAGATATGTCACAGCTGGAAAGATTTATGCACATGGGGTAAGTGCCAAGCAATTGTTTCAGATACTCTTGATTCTTTGTTTAGCCTTTTGTTTCTTGGTGTGGCTGTTTCCTAAAAATTATGTATCTTGTTCAGGGTACCGGAGATGCTACTTTGGTCCTTGTGTGGAGCAGGTGTGTAGGATGATTGTATTTAGAGCTTGGATTTCCCTTCGTTATCAATTAAGGTCTGGATATTATTAGCTTTGTTCATCTATGTTCAAACTTGAGTGACATGGAAATTTATAACTGATGGTATCAATCAGAAGCAGAGAAGGTAAATTCAGATGGGAACACAAATGGGATAATTAACTGCCATGGAATTTAGTATCCCTTGACTAACGAGAAATAGTGTATTGGATAGCATGAATTTTGCATTAGAAGCAATCTATGTCTAATTCAGGAAAGACATGAGTTATAAGAATTGTAGTTGTGGTATTAAACTGAAGTTTCCCTTTAACTGTCTGACTATGAGAACTTTATGCAAAGAAACTAGCCACTCCTCAATAGCATTGTTTGAGCTCTGTTGTCTGTAGATACAATGTTGTGTTCATGATGAGACCGATTCTAGAGTTTTTGATGTGATGACTTGTGAACAGATAATAAAAATTGCACCAACAATTTGAGTACTTATTTTTTTTAGTATTGACAGCATGTGGATGCGAAATCCTGTATGAGTGTTCGGGTTACCTGTCGTGGCCCCCTGCCGCGATCGCGCACCCGCTCGCCATATCGCTCGCGCTCGCCATCGCTCATTGGACGCATGGAACGCTCAAGGAACCGAGGAACATCAGCCGCCGGCCGGTGGAGATAAAGCGGCGGCCAACCGTGTGCGCCGGTGGAGATCAGGCGGCGGCTGAGCGCCTGCACCGGTCGAGATCAGGCCGCCACGTTGGCAGCCAGGTGCGTGCAGCTTGCTGATTGCGTTGGCAAGCAGGTGCGTGCAGTTTGCCGAGCGCCAGCAGCCTTCCATCGCTCACAGTCGCGGCCGTTGACAATTGAGCAACACGCCAACGCCGTCTAGCAGAAGCAGCTCACACCGCGCGCTCGCCGTCCGGCCGCTGCATCTCGCCCCGGCTTGCTCTAGCGCGGCAGGGAGCCTCCCTCGCTGCAGGGATCAGGAAGGGAGGACGAGGAGACGCCGTAGATTGACGATCAGGTTAGGAGCTCCTGTATGTCTTTCCGTTATGTCTGAAATAACAAGAGCAAGTTATCAAGTCTGTACTGCTATTGGCAAGTTATCAAGTCTGTATGTTGATGCCTCGTAGGTTCATGTCTGAAATAATAAGAGCAAGTTATTAAACATGTAATTAACTAAAACCACAAATTTTGACATGGTATTTTTTACGGGTGTTATGACTATGTCAAGCCTGTGATGTTGATTGGTTATGGGGAATGGTAGTAGTTAAAATTATAAAGAAAAGTTTATGTGTATATATATGGTCATCCACTGGTATTTTTATCATGGTATTTTTTGGCAGCTACTGGCAACAATTCAACAGCTTTTGGTTTCAGCTTATATTGAATAAGCTCAAAAGCAATACTTAGAAGTTAGTTCCCAGATGAAAGGTTTTGAAACAAAATCTAAACAATTTAAGGAATTCAAAGAGCAGTTAGTATTTTTTTTCTCCTTGCCATATTCTTTTAGGCATCTTCTTCATATTAGTTTTAGTTAAGTTTGTCTACAGGTCTTGAATCTTCTTGATATTAGTTTTAGTTAAAGGCGTGCAGTGTACCTGTTGCCGCTGATTCAGTAATGGCTTCGTGTTCAGACCCTGAAC